CCTCTCAAAGACGCTGAAAGACCCAGCAATTTTTCTGTGTTGTCAGGCTGCATTTTATCTTCCTTAGAACAGCACAAGCCATGAAGACTCATATCAACACATCCACCCAGTTTAGGGGGCACCACCCAGGAGAATCTCCCACTGCAGCAGCAGCAGGAGAGTCTTGAGAAGGTGCAGGGAGGACAACCAAAACCAAGTTGCTGCACTGATCACAGAGTGGTTAAGCTTCTTCCTAAACACCAGGTTCCAAGTAAAAAACTGATAAAAGAAGTAAAAACAAACTACAAGTCTCTTCCTACATGAATATTACTTTCAGGCAGCCCAGAAAAGATTTCTAGAATGTGTGCCTGTTAGAAAAAGAACCCAAAACTTACACAGTTAAAGGAGGGGAAGGTAAAGCTTAACGCTAATTTCAAAGTCAAGTAAGTGACACCCTGGATTGAATACTATTAACCAAAATTGTACAAGTTAAAAGTGGATGTACTGAAAGCAGCAGAAACCCTGCCCGCAACAAAATGAGAACTCTCTTACAAAAATACCTCTGTGGCCAAATGAAACACTGAGTTTAAATAAGAAAGCAAGCACTTACACCTATCGTGCTCTCCCCCTCTTCCTTCTCATCTAGGGAGTCTCATTTATCTCAAAGCAATCAAAAGAAAACACTTTGATTTTTAAAGTCAGAAAAGCTGCAGAAATTACAGCCCTGTCTGGCACAAAGAAATAATATTTCTGAAATCAAAAGAAGATTCTCCAAGTTAGGGGAAGGGCAAAAACAGTCCTGAATAACTTACTTTGCATAGCCCAGTTCCTGCCAAAACAGTTCTGTAAATCCCATGGTAGTTCAGATAATTTTCATTCTTAGAGCAAAAAAAAATCTAGACTGAACATTAGCAACATTAATTGTGTGATATGACCTGAATGATGCAAGAACAAGTAGTTAAGTGAACCACAGCATCTGCTGAATTTTTAATCACTAGTTGTTTTGCTGCAAGGCAGAAGAACACTATATATCAGCTTCCAAGCACTGCATGGAATGGCACATTAGGACAGCAAGATTTTAACTGGCAGGAATTCTGCCTCCCTGCTACCCAAATGCCATCACTTTGCTGTGAACTGCAGACAGAACAGCTTCTAAAGCAGGATTATTTTTTAATCACACAGAAAAAAAAAAAAAAAAAAGCACTATTTTCTATACCCCGAGACACCAGTCAGCCATTTCTAAATTTTTCTTTTTAAAGCTGACACTTTATTAACAGCCATTTAGGTGTTCCTCTACAGTGTACTTCTACTCTCCAAACAGCTTTAAGCAGTCATGTGGCTGTCCAGCAGCAAATTACTACCAAAGAGGTGGTTGAAGCTGGGGTGTGTAGGAAGGTGATCTATGTAAACATTCCTATTAGCCATGTACTGCAACAGGAGGAGAGCTGCAACATGTTGGGGCACACCTGAACTATATTTAATCCATCTCTCCCTGACACCCATTGCAATGACGCTGCAGACACCCAAATTTGGACAGCCAGGTCATGGTACCGCTGATGCTCATCCTGTACCTACACCAAACAGTTGTGCTGTGATTTCTCTGTGTTTGATATCCAAAATAGTTAAATAAACCAAGCACCATGCCTACAGCGGTAAATACAGCTCCAGTTATGCTCTAGGCGTAAAACTGCAACAGCAGGATTAGCAAGTGATACAGCAGATATTCCCCTTCCACAACAAAGACAAAAAAAAAAGTTAAGTTATTTGGGGAATAAACACTAAATCCACAATTACAGTGTGAATTCCAAATACCAATCCCACAATTATAGGCAGAATCTGCACTATGGACAATTATTCTATTTCATATTTTAGGGGGGAAAAAATGACATTTGGGAAAAAAGGACAATATCCCTACATTAAAGAAAGACTGTCACACTGACTTTAATAGACTCTAAGTTTAGTAAATTAAGAGAATCAAAATAGCTTGGAAAACAAAGCCAGTAAAATATGGTACAAATAAAAATGGAGCAGCCACACATACCAAAGCAGCATTCCTGTGCCCTCCTTCCTGCAGAGCTTATAGAGCTGGGAAGAGGATCTGCAACCATAACTTTCACTAAACCAATATTTCCCTCAAAAGCTCAAATCTATGGATAGGAATATCCAGGGATAAATCCAATGACCAAATAATCCACAAGAGACAAAAAATCCCAGCAGACATGGGCAAGAGATGTTTCCCAGGCTATATTATCTTTCATGATAGGTTTAGGATCAGTCCTGTGTTTTCCTTATAGACTCAACAATCAGGTCTAAGAAAAGCTGTTCTCTTCTCTGAAACCTGCAACAGGAATATTGAAATATGCCCAATCTGCTGGGAATACAACCACCTCTGTGGGAGGATTATACCAAAACGCTGGTCTGGTTATGCTGTAGGGCACCGAGAAGTGAGAATAACACATCGTGATGAACGTGTTGACACCTGGAACCTTAGGGAGCGTTATTGTCGTGCATCTACCACACAGTGCTCACCTTCACATCTGCCAAACCTAACCTGGCACCTCCACACCCCAAAAGCACAGTCCATCCTTACATGGGAGCTGCAGGCCAGTCTGGGAACACTGGGATAAACACCTGCAGCACAAGCATCAAGATGAGCTTCCAAATTTAAGAGACACAGAAAGATGTTTTATAACGTATAAGTCACTCAGCTGCAGCTTAGCACTTAACAAGCTACTCACAATTCTTCACCATCCTTCTCCAGATGGAGAAAAGATTTTAGAAATCATTTAGTGCAAGTGAAACATCCCCAGCTTTCTCCTCAGCCTCTGCTCGCTCTCCAATTAAATATGAAAGCGACAACTTAGTCATACTGAGCATACAGGATGATTTTAAGACAGTGGTATTAAATCAAATCCCACAACTTTTCACACCTATTAAATCATTAGGAGGGGAGATTTTGATAAGCACAATGCAATTAACAGACAGTGCCTTTGTTACCGGGCTGCTCCTGATGAAGCCCAGGCTCCTTGACATTCCATTTCTTCTCCTCAAAGGTTCTGTGCTACAGCAAATTTATGGGTTTTTAGCATGTAAGAGGAGAATTGGGCAGGTTACCTTCAAAATCAGTCAATAAGGCCCTTTCACTCAGGCTGGGGAAGGCGGGTGGCTGCTGGAAAGCAACACAAGGCACTCCCTTCCCCCTCCCCTCAGGACCCAAAAATGCTGCGTTCAAAACACTCCCATCCCCTGCAGCAAGGGATTAGCCATTTATTAAAAAGGAATCAAAACACTGTAAAAGGCTTCCAGTTAAGATTTCAAGGGGAAAAAACAAAAAAAAAAATACAACCAACATTAACACCAGTAGAACCAGAGACACATTAGGAATTCTTCTGGCCACCAAAGAACGAGCATCTCAAATGCTAGCAGGATGTAATTTGTCCCGATGATGCTGATCAAATGACTCAAAAGGAGGACAGAATTAGATTAATTATTTAATTTATTTTTTTTTTTACTCAGTCATTTTGCTGCCTCCACACTGAGCAGTAACAGCATCCACAACCTACAGGCACATTTAGACTTTGGACTTTTAAGATAACTACCTACCTCCACGCTTGTTTTTTAGGGGCTTTTTTGGCTCTTCTCTAGGGGTGACAGACAATTATAATGGCCAATTATGTAAAACCTTTCATCCGAGAAAACACGAAGCACTACGCAAACACTCATTAAGACTCTCGGCTGGAGCCTGCGCCTGCTCCACAGCTCCCCTGGATATCTCCAGCCACCAAAACTGGATGCCGAGCGCTGTGGCACGGCCAGGACAGCGCCCAGCAAGGCAGGGCAGCCCCAGGAGTACTTACACGGCCTCGCAGGAGGGTTTTACAGCCCGCAACACGCCCCGGGCTGCTGGGGCTGAGCTTTACAGCCCCATCCAAGCCGGTTATTTAAAAACACAGCAGAGACACACGCGGCTGCTGGGCGTTGTACGAAGCACCTCGCAGGACGAGCCTTAGACCCACTTGTCCGGCTGATCCAAGCAGATTTTTCCAACTGGGAGCCGCATGGCACAAGTCAATAACCTCGTTTTACTGAAGAAATTAAAAGCTACGCTTATTGTTTCGAGTAAGGCCTTGGAGGAAGTAATTCCGAGAAGAAATCACTTCCACTGTAATTGTACTTTTAACCTTTCCTTAGGTTCTTACGCCATCCCCACGTGAAGGCGTTATTCAAGAATTATCACAATATCTAGTAGCCATTAAAGCTTTTTTCGGACCACTGTTTATGTTCAGCGAGTTCACAACCCCTCCCTTCTGAAGGGCGGCTGATCGATGCATGAACCACGGGGGAAACAGTGCAGAGAAAACACGACCAGGAAGTGACCGCAACCGAGGAGATCAAATTTTGGGGGGAAAACACGCGGTTTGGGAGGGGGGTTGCTTTTCAAAGAGGGTCGGCGAAAAGACTGGCCCGCAGAAAGCAGGGGGGGCTCGGTGTCCCCAGCCACGCGTGGGACGGGCGCGTTACGCAACCCCGGGGAGCGGGGATGCTCCGCACCCCGCACGGTGACNCCACGAGGGTGCCAGTTCCCAGCCCGCTGCGGGGCACCGGCAGCTTATCAGTGGATTTAGTCTGGTGATAAAGAGCTAAAAATCTGTACGGTCCTCTACAGGAGGCCAAAAAGTCGTACGATAAATCTCCTGTCTTTGAAACCTACTGAACTCCCCACTGCGGAGCCAGAAAAATCACAGAATCAATTAGGTTGGAAATGACCTCTGAGATCATCGAGTCCAACTCATGACCAAACACCACGCTGTCAACCAGATCATGGCACTGAGTGCCACGTCTAGTTTTTCCTTAAACACCTCCAGGGATGGTGACTCTACCATCTCCCTGGGCAGTCCATCCCAAAAGAGCTGGAGGGAGGTCACTGGGACTGTCCCTCCCTACTGGAACCCCACCAGCGTGGTGCCAGTCTTGCCAGCTTGTTTTGCCAACGTTTCCTCCCCAGCAAAATCACCAAATACCCTTTGCTGCCATCTGTCCTTGGCAGAGGAAAACGTGAGCTGCTGTTCCTGCTGCAGATGTGTCCATAGCAGTGGTTTGTCATGCAAGTGTCACCCCAGCCATCTTTGCTGTGCAGTGCTCAAGAAGCCTCAGCCTGCAGCGAGAAAGAGAGAAGGGCACTGGAGAAATCCTCTGAAATCAAAGGTATTGAGAACAAGAGAAACAAAAAAGGGAAAACTTTGGGAAACGAGGAATTAAGTGGTGGAATCAGATGATAGATTGAATCTTATAGCGTGAGGGTCCTGGGTGGGGAGACAAAGATTCACGACTCCAGGTGCTCATGAGACAAACAGCCTCGTTTACTATTCAGAACTCATTTAAATACTCAATTCAAATTTCCCGGGCTAGACAGCCATTGGCTGATACTTCTCTTCTTGCCCAGCGTCCTGGCCAGTGGTGGGCAGTGGTTCAGACATGAATTAGGCTAGCTAAATTAGATTTATGTTATGGCTAGACCAGATCCGTGTTATATCTAGACCCACCCTGTCTAGTCCAGACCAGCTGCACTGTGACACTACAGCAACAGAACCTAAAAAGGTTTCTACAAGAAGGAGCTTCCCCTCTCCTTAAAAGATTTTGGCAAATCGTTTCCACTTGGATGGAAGCAGGCAGCAAACTGCAAAGGCCCGGTTTCTTTCCAGCCCAGGGAACAGCAGGAAGCCGTTCAGAGGACGGAAAGAAGAATCTTTCCTGATTCTTCCCCCAGAGGGTGCTGGCACTGCCCAGGCTCCCCAGGGAATGGGGACAGCCCCGAGACTGCCAGAGCTCAAGAAGAGTTTGGAACACTCGGGAACAAGGTGGGATTGTTGGGGTGTCTGTGCAGGGCCAGGAGTTGGACTGGATGAACCCTGTGGGTCCTTTTCCACTCAGAATATTCTCTGCCCTACCTCTTGGAAGGCAGCACTACTTACTCTCTGTGTACACTGCTGAGAGGAGATCCTTGAGACTGTTCTCAAGCTAAAAAGCAGTGTAAGTGTGTCAGCACGGCACTGTGCTATGACAGTCCTGACAAGGGGCAGAGCTAATTAGCCAAGGCCCAGGATCACATTTATATGGTGTCTCAGATGGCTGAGACGGACCTCCCAAAGTCTCTATTGACTATGGCTGCTATACAAAGCGAGGGTGGGAGGGAAGATAGAGGTAAGTTGAATGGCTGAAGGTCAAATATTAGAGCAGGACAGAAAACAGTTCTGACTGTTCTCACCTCTCCAGTACTTTCTCCACTGGACTCTAACAAACCACAGAACAACAACAGGATTTAGCTGCTGCTGACACAGTAGTTTCCTGTGTTCCAGGGAAAAATTCTGTACTTTGGTACAGGACCAAATGCATATGGAAAAAAACAACTATTTACTAACCTGGCCCCCAAGTTTGGTGACATGCAGGGAGATGCAAGATATCCCCAGATCACTTAAAGGGAAATGAAATATGTGCCCTGTTGTATTAGAAAAATGTCCCACAAAGATACGGCCCCAATCTTCTATTGTAAATTGATAAAGACAGTGAACTGCCATTTGCTGCTAAGTGACTCCTAATGATTAAACAACCTTTCTCCTCCCACCCCCTCGGGGCACTTAGTGATAATATAAGAAAGATTTTGCACATTGTTTAGCTTAAATGGCCATCTGGTCCTTCTGCATTTCAGTAGCCTTGAACATTAAAAAAACAATAGATAAAGAAAACCTCTCCTATCTTATCAGAGACCTGGATAAGTTTAACTGTCAGAGCAAAGAGGATTAACTAAGTCCTTACAGTTCTTTCATTGTTCCCATCTTGATTAGCAGTCATATTCCTCACAGCTTTGTGTCATAGTCTCTAAACAAAGAGAAGAAACAGTTCCTTACTGGCTGTATTAATTTTAACCATGAAACACAACTCCAGCAGTTCCATCCAGCTTCCACAGGAGGTGTTCTGCTCCTGGGCACATGGACTCCACTCCTGTGGAGACACAATGGAGGCACATGCCAAAAAAAGATACAGGTTTTCAGCCAAAATTAAAAACAAAACCAAAAAACCCAAAAAACTGGAATTATTGTGCAAGTAGGGAAAAAACGCTCCTTTCAGAGGAAAATATAATAGTCTTGCCTAAACTCAGAAACCTACTTCCCACTGCTGAAACTTCATCTAATCCCACCCCACTAAGTGGTTTCTTCATCTGCTTTTGCTCAAGGGGATAAAAACACATTTCCACCAAAGCAACCCACTCAAAGTCCCCGGAAACCAAAAAAAAGTTTGATCTCAACTCAGTTTATGGTCGGTTTACTGTTGAATCCAGCATTTCTTCTGGGTTTAATTCCCATCCTCCTCTTTGCCATGGAAGAAAACTAAGAAGGGTTGAGTCTGTTTGGAAAGAAGTGTGATATCCTTAAGAATGTGGCCTTGGACTTTGAAAAAAGGAGCCAGCTGAGGACGCTTTCACCTCCAATGCTGGAGCAGGTTTGTGAGTGAAATCTGTAGCAGCAGGGAACATTTGCTGTAAACAAGCCATAAATGAGAGAGGATGTACAGATATGCTGAGATAAAACCACTCAAGCTGTGTTCCCAACTGTACTTTGCATCCTGACATTGCTAGTTTGCATTTTTGTGAAAGCTGGGAGCTAATAAATGTGCTACAACATCCAACTTCTGGGTATCAGCTGCCAGAGTGCAATAGAATCTCCAGAGTCAGGTACCTCGTCTTCTATTTATAGTCCAGAGAGAGACACTTCCCAAGGGCAAGTGGAAACTCCCACCTGGGAGCAGAGACCAGGGGGAAGGAAACATCAAACGAGGGCTGTATTAGAATCACTTTGCACAGCCAGTGTAGGTGTTTCCATCAGCTCAGGATCCTAGACCAAAATTTTGGGGTTTAAGAGTCTGTCAGTTCTCTTTGAAGGACTGGAGCAATAAAAATTTCTGTTTAACACCGTGGGTGTCAAGGTTGCATTTGATGTTATTTGTTGTATGTGCTGAACTGGGTGGTGGAAAAATACCCAGGAAAGGGAAGACACTCTGCAGGCTCATCCAGGTGTGAGTCCAAACATCTCTCTCTACCTGCTTGGACCATGCCCTCCTCCCAGGTTACAGGCTGAGACACTGGGGGGTGGCTTCCTCCTATTCCTGGTAAAAATGGGCTGCAGAGCAAAATAAACATCACAGAACAGAGCAAGAAGCTTAACTGTGTTCCCTAGTTGCTCAAAGACAGGAATTTCACTTCTATTTTCTCTCCTAGAATTTGTTCTGGTTTTTAAACTAGCAACCACTTCAGATGAAAACCTTGAGCAGAAGTGGGAACAGCAGCCAATGCATCATGATGAGTTTGTTGTTCAATACTTGATTGAGAGGTTATCAATTAAATTTGGCAACCTGTTCCCTCTGCAGTGTCTTATTTTGCCTACAGAGGATTTTCTTGGACTGCATGCAAGTGGCTGTGGGGTACAGCTTTGTAACTCCATTTGCCTGTACTTACACCAAAAACATGATCAGAAAATGTAACTATTTCAGGGATAAATTTGAGGATAGATTTACCTACACACTACATATTTCTCTTCATTTGTGCAAGGGTGGGGAGAATCACCTTCACAAAGAACAATATTCTGTGTGAAGGAATGAAGAGCAGAAAGAACAAGTTAGCAGATTGCCACATAATGATCTCCTCAGTACAAAACGTGTAGGATAATGACAGTTATATTACCAAGAAATAAAGAAATTCAAATTGGTTCTAAAAGTTCTATGGCTAAAATGGGATATTATCATAAAGTCATCAGGTATGTATGAGAACAAAGAGTTTAACCTTTCAGGCATGGCTAATATCTGCACAGGATAATGAGTTTAGAAATTCATATCCCTTGTTTATCTCTGTGAAATGGTAATATGTTTATTCCTCTTAACACAATATTCCTCTTAGCACAATAAAATCAGCAGCAATCAGGGATTTGGCTGGAATACACCTGATTAGAGTGTTTTATCTTCAGTGACATCACAACACTTTAAAATCTTGGCGTTATTCAAACACAGCTTGTGCTGACCTAAATATTGTCAGTGGAAGGTGTCTGCAGCATGTTAAGGAAACCCATTCTGGCTGTAACCTACCTGGCTCAGGTAACACCTGAGCAGTGCACAGCAAACCCAGGGCAGCTACTCAGGTTCCTCAGGGGTCCACGGCTGTGTTATCACTCCTGTTGTTACTTGAGCTCCTGAGATTAAGCCCAGGCTGTAGCAAAGCTTCCTAAATTCTGTATCGACACAAGAATGGAAATGAGCAAAGGTGAAAGTCCAGATGCTCCAAGGAACAAACAAGAATTGTTTCAGCATATTCAGGTATGCAGTAAGGAAAAACCACGATTTTTGGTCGAAATGATGACATTCTTAAACTCACTTTCTCCCTAAAACTTGTTTCAGCATGGCTCACATCATTGGACTATATCCTGATATAAGGTAGAATTGCTGAATGCCCTCAAATTCCACTGCCATAGGAGAAAAAGCGGATTAAGAAAAATCAGCAAATACCGAGGACAGCATTGGACTGGACTGTGCACTCTACAGATCTGAGCTCCTGTGGTTCTGTCGTTTAATTGGATCTTATTCAAACCATCACTTTGGCAGCACTCAATAACCTCCATGCTGATTTCTTTTATTATCACTAGCAAATAAATGACTGTAGGATTAGGCTGGGTGGTCAGTATTTGTGACCTTTACTGGAACCTTTGTCAGTCTGCAGAAACAGGGGGTGACTCTTCCCCTACTGCTCTGGGATGCCCAGAGTCACTCAATCTGATCGTTGCCGTGGGGAACAGCTCTGTGCTCTTACTGTAGTACTTAATCCATTTATTGCTGTATTGAAATCGCGTTTATATACAAAATTACCGATATATTTGTGTAACGCCAGAGGGAATCCCGCATTTTCAGGCTGCTGGAAGGGCACAGCTATCCTCCATCGCTCCCGCTGCTCAGCAGTTTCTCCTTTCCAAACACTTTTTTTCCCCCTCCAAACGCCGTCTCTATTTTTGCAGTGCCACCAAGCGGATGGTTCCCCCGTTAGCATTTGAATTTCCCAGGTTACCACTTAAAAAACAAACGCAGAACTCTCCGGTTGCTGAGAACGG